CGTCGCAAGCGTCGCATCGTCATAAATTTTTCGGAAAGAGAGATTCTTTAAAAGAAGAGGCGGTGTTAGACTCAGCTTGTCGAGAAGATTCTTAACGTATGCCACACTACAGTAACACCTAAGGTGTACGGTAATACAGTAGGAAGTTAATACAGCGAATCCGTCTGAAACTTTACGTAGAGGTAGTTAGTTGACTTCCTACCGTATCTACCGTGCTTCTCAGGGGTTACTGTAGTGGGGCATATCTTAAGATTCGTCTGGACGAGCTGGATCTAATACTGCTTTTACTTTTAGAAAATTTCTATTTTGAAAGAAGTTATGACGATGCAACGCTTGCGACGGATTTTTATGTAAAATCACGTTTCTTTTGCAAAAGTTATGAGCGGTATTGTACTCTCAGTACCACTACCTCGGCGTATGTGGAATTCTGAGACGAACTAGGAACAATGTCATAAAAAAGTGAAAATGTTTTCGAAGTCACGTTTGCATCTCGATTTGTCAGGAAAAAACTCTTGCACCAAAGTGGAATGCCTTCCTGGAGAAGGTTGTGGACATAAAGATCTCTGGTTTTGGGCATCTTTTCGGAGCATCATCCAAAATTTGATGTCATGAGTAAGTAAAAGTTGTAAGAAGCAGGATTTATAAAGTTGTCTAATAATAAAAGAAGTTGGCTGCATCATGATGAGATTTCATGATTTATTTCTGGAGCGATTTAGAAGGGTGATATCGTTACTTGTCAACCATAGCAGAATCATGTCTTTCGTATGCGCTTCCCCTTTTTTAGTATCAGATTTAACATAAGTACCCCATGGTCGATATTGAATGCGTTGTGAGATTGGAGAGCCGTTGTTAGAAATGTGTTCTTTCTCTGATCTGAACCTGAATGCTCTAATTTTGCTGATCTGAACAGGTGTGTTATTAGATACTTCCAGAACTCCACCAGTTACTAGCTAGTAGCAGACTGCAGAGGTTTAGTAGTTAACCCACGGAGAAGAAATGAACTGGATATGACAGAACATTTAGACTTTTGTTTTTATTTGGTGCATTCGTTAACGATTTGTTAATGACTTAAAATCCAAGTCAATCGTCCGCAGTAATATCAGGTTCTCATCGGCATTCAGCGCTAACTTGCATTTAAATGAAAAAATCACTTGATCGAAAACTCTGTCAGAGCAGTTTTTAGGACAGACTCAGTTACTACTTATCCCCTGCAAACACTGTTAACATTTCGAATTCTCTGAATTTGTATAAAGTTGTGTGTAAACCCGTAAACTTGGTTTTGCTCTCAGACCCACCTCTTGTGCTTAAACAGAAATCAGGACTCTCATTATAAAAATAAAAAGGTAGAAGAAACGATTTTAGATTTAGTAGAGACGAAATGAGGACTATAAACCAAAATTAAAATTCAAAGAACGTTTTCTACAACTAAACCTTTAAAAAAAACTTGTGAGTTCCGTAGGAACTTCAAAATGTATTGTAAAACTTAGTATTTCTCATTAACAGTGCTTGAACATTGTTCTTTTTTTATGCAAATGTCATTTTCTTTACCATTGGTGTTCTGGGATATTGAAGAAATATCCTTTTACAGTTTCCCATTATATATTTTACGGTCGTCTCTAGGATAGCGAAAGGATTTATATTGGATTGAGTTCGGCATATATTTCATGAGAATCTGCCGATCTGCTACTAA